CCTGAACTTTTAGCGTTCTTATTTTGGAAGCTTACTGAACCAATGGTTTTGCTTTCCTGAGTTTTAAAAGTAAATTAAATCAAAGAAACCTTGGTGGAAAGACAGTGTAGCAATGTAATAGTATGTACTATACTTTCAAAATGTATCACAGCATACAGACCCAAAACAGCAAGTATAATAAAATGTTAGTGGTAGAATCTACGTGGGAAGCATGCAGGTGCTCACAGTAAAATTCCTTTAACTTTGCTGTGTGTTTGAAACTTTGCAAAACATTGCAAAGATATATAAGAAGACATATATACCTGATACTGCATTTGTATACTGAAGAAAATGTCATTGCATAGTGACGTAAGACTGAGTAGCCTCAATGATTATTTATGCTGAATTTTCATTTTGGAAAACTTGGAGAATAGAAAATACTTTTAAGAAGCTTTATGAACTCTTCAGGTTATTTTCTACAAACCACAGCTACACTAAACACGGAAAGACAGTAAGGAGGGACTTTGAGGCTACAGGGAAAATTATATTGTGTGTCACTGCCATTTCATTATCCAACTAGTAACTGGAATGTCTATTTTCCCAATTAGATTTGACTTAAAATTTAAAAATCACTAAATATTTGGACATATGCATATGACTTAAAATACGGCTTAAAATGCATCAACATATTTGTTGTCCTTGTATGTCTTTTTCCACCCAGCAATATGGATTGAGAGCTGAGTTTGATTGCCATAGGTGATGATTGCCCAAACCTGGCCCAAAGCTAAAAAATTGTATCCTGTGCCTATTTTGTTTCACCATATGTGTGTTTTGCCATACCATAACAGTGTTTTGCCATATATGTTTTACCATACCACGCTGGGGGTGGGGCAGGGGGACACAACTGTAAATGTCTTTTTAAAAGAAAAAAAAACAGTTCTTGAAAAATGCCAGACTTAAGCCCCTCCGCAAATGATTCTCTGTAATGATGAAATTTTTCCTTTGGAAAGTTGGTTTCTTCTGCATATAGAAGAAAAACAAAAGATCTAAAAATTATCTATTAATTGCAAAAGTCTGTCCAGGTCAGGTTTATGTCCTAAGCAGAGGGAAACTCTCTGGAGCTCTTATTCCAGGCCTTTGGGAAGAAACGCCTCCTTCTCCCTCATTTCCTGTTTTCTCTTTTCCTTGTTTCTTTGGCTCCCACAGCAGTGGTGTTTTGGCTATGCTGATACTGTGGGTCTTTAAAAAGAAAAAAAAAAAGGAACATGGGACCCAAATGATGTCAAAGAACTGAGAAGCTTAATATTATAAAGGAGAGTCAAGAGGAAAGAGGCATATAAAATGCAATAAACAAAACATTCACTTCTCCGTACTACCACACTTGCCACAAGGGACAGAAGCAATAACTGTAGTAGCATGAATCTCCACCTTTTTTTAAAAACAAGTTTTTATTCCTCCAGAAACATAATAAAGGAAGGGTAAAGCCCTGACCCAGTCGTTTTTCTGCAAGGGAGACTTATATGAGTCTTTTCTATGGCAATTTTATGGATCTCTCAAGCAATCACACTTTATTTTCTTTTTTATTATGAAAGAAATTCATTGTTATTTCAAAGAGTACTCCCAAGTATAAAGAGAACACATAGATCATGCATAATTCCGTTTCCCAGAGAAAAGGACTTTTAATATTGGGTACGTATCCTTACAGATTTTTCTTCTAAAAATATATGTCATATAATTGTAAATTTTCAAAAAGAAGCGTGCAGTTTTTTTCCAAAAGGACTTTGTTCTCACTTTCTTGCCTAATGAATTCTACCCCCTCATTCTCTGGCATCTCCAGTTTCACTTTCTTCATTAGTTACCTCTTGAACTATAAACATACTCAAGACCTTTACACAAGGGAGGGGGGAAACTACAATTTTCCCAGTATTCTTCCCCTCTGTTTTTTCTCATTCCACTCCCACTTCCCTCCCACCCTTTTTTTAAACTGTGGGAGAACACTTAGCAGGAGATCTACCATCTTAATACTTATTTTTCCCTCTTTCTCTTTTCATTCAAGCTTTTGTAAGGGAAAAGAAGTCCTTTTTCAATATCTTTACTCCCTTATGACCATTGTAGTCACGAAGTTACTCTAATTTTGGCTCCAAGAATTCTCTTCCTAAGGTCCTCAATGGCTGCCAGCGTGCCCAACACAATGAAAGTTTGCAGGGTGCCTCCTCACTTAACCTTTCCTCAGCACTTGGCACTGTCTAGAGCTCTTTTTTTCTTTGACTGCGTCCTCCTGGTTCTCCTCTTAAACGTATGACCACTCCTATTCAGCCTCCTTCATTGGGTTCTTTTCTTTGGCTCATTCTTTAAAAGTAACAATTCTCCAGCATGCTGGCCTTAGTCCTTATCTCTTTTGTTTTCTTTTTTAATGAGCTCATCCACTCCTGCAATTTTAGTTATCCCCAGAAATCCATATGTCCTGCCCTTCTCTCTCTTCTGAGATATAGACCTATATAATCGAATGACCAGCTGGATCTTTCCACATGGACAAACTTTCCAAAGACATCACAAACTCAGCACATGTCTTTTCAGCACATCATCTCTTTTCCCAATTCTCCTCCCTCTCATCGAGACCCTATTCAGTTGGTGACAGCACCATTTAATAGCTGTAATAGTGTAAATAACAGCAGAGAAGCTTTTTAAAATAATGCGTACTTGACCACTGAAAGATGTAATATTTACATTCATCTTGACATCTGTAGTCAATCACAAGTTACTTCAGGGGCTAATTCATACTATTACCTCTAAAATCGGACTGCTAGAGAATCTGATAATTAGAAGTCCATTGGTGACTGTGAATACAATTAGAGTAACTTGCAAACTGATTGTAATTGCCTTAAAAGTGAAGAGAAAGGAAGGAGCTGTTGCTAGTGCGCATGGACCAGTCTTTCAAGTTTGACAGTGAAGAGATAAGAGAAAATTAAATGAAAGTCTTTAGGGGAAAGGAGATGTGAGGAAGTCATCTTTTAGAACAAGGAAAACTAAGCAATTTTGCAGGCTGGGGGAAGAAGGTGGTGGAGAAGACGGGGTGGAAGATAAGGAAGATAAGAAGATAGGAATTGAATAGTGACAACCACGAAAAAAAGAGTAGGGAAGTCTTTGTTTCTTTTGTCTCTGTTATATATATATTCTTCGTGTAACATTTGTTTTACTAAATTCAGGTTTACTATTTAGCATTAAATAAATAATAGTAAAAATATTTTTAAAATATTTATATGTAATTTTTTTGGTTTTTATTTAAATTCCAGTTAGTTAACATACAGTGTAATAATATTAGTTTCAGGTGTATAACTTAGTGATTCAGCAATTCCATACAGCATCTGGTGCTCATCACAAGTGCACTCCTTAATCCCATCACCTATTAACCTGTCCCCTACCCCCTTCCCCTCTGGTAACCATCAGTTTGTTCTCTATAGTTAAGAGTCTGTTTCTTGGTTTGCCTCTCTCTTTCTTCCCCATGCTCATCTGTTTTGTTTCTTAAATTCCACATGTGAGTGAAATCGCATGGTGTTTGTCTTTCTCTGACTTATTTCACTCGGCAAAATACTCTCTAGCTCCATCCACATCGTTGCAAATGGCAAGATTTCATTCCTTTTTATGACTGAATAATATTCCATTGTGTGTGTGTGTGTGTGTGTGTGTGTGTGTGTGTGTGTACACACCACATCTTCTCTATCCATTCATCAGCTGATGGACGTTTGGGCTGTCCATAATTTAGCTATTGTTGATAATGCTGCTATAAACATCAGGGTGTATATAGCCCTTCGAATAAGTATTTTTGTATCCTTTGGGTAAATACCTAGTAGTGCAATTGCTGGATCATAGGGTAGTTCTATTTTTAACTTTCTGAGGAAGCTCCATACTATTTTCCACAGTGGCTGCACCAGTTTGCATTTTTATACATAATCTTTAACCTTTACATTTATTTACATTATTATTCTGTAGTTAGGCAAAAATTGCAACTGAGGCTATTTTGTGCAATTAACTAAATAATGTGTTTCTTTTCCTTTTCAAAATTTCCTTCATATTTTCCATTCCTAATAAGTATGAAGAATCCATTTAATTTGACCTATACACAACTAGTTTCTCTCAACTCAAAGTCTTACTTTTAAATAAACTCTTATTCTAAAATGAACATAGGGAGCTTCATTTTTCAGGTCCTTATCTCATCAGATTTTTTTGTCTTGTTTTGTTTTTTTTTGTTATTTTGTTTTGTTGTTACTTACTCGCAAAATTTTCTTATATAATGCATTCCAAATCTATGGCAATGTATTGTTTTCCTATACAGTGTCTAAGTTTTATGGTTTGTTTAATTCAAGTGAGTAAAGCCACCTCACTGTTCTACTTTTGTGGAGGAGAGAATGAAAGGGTGAAGTGGGAGGTAAATAGGGCTGAGGAAAGATGGTGGGATGTCTGCCGAGAGGAAAGGTTACCAGTTAGACTCAATCTTCTTAAGAAAACTATAGGTCTGATTCAATGGTATTAAAAAAAAAAGTTATCAGCACTAACAAAGAACTAGAGAGGTCTCCTTGCAGTTACTCAGAAAGGATTCAGAATGCTGTGGGGAAGATGGGAGATGCTGCATTTGGGGTTTGACATTGGACACTTCTCCTGAGCTGAAAGCTTCTTACAAGGAGTGAGGTATTCTCGGCAAAGGACTATTTTCTTTCTCTCTTTCCTGGCTTCTCCCACTTCCAAGGGCTCGCCATTTTAGCTCCACTGCATCAATGCTCTTCCTAGCTTCACACAGGTGAGCAGTGCGCAGAATCGACTATCAGCAGGCAGCATGCTAAGGCTGAGGTGGGGAGGGCCTGACTTTACGGCCTCAGTTGAAATCCTCGGCTCCACTGTTGGCCAGGGGAGGTGGGAGGGGCACAGGAAGTGACTACCCTCTCACTTCTCCTCCCACAGAAGCCCTGCCTCCTTCACGCTTGGACAGTGGAGAGGTTAGCTTTCTCTCTCCTCCTAGTTCAGTCCTTTGGCTAATGGGAAAGACCACGCAGGAGCTGTGGAATTGCTTTCCGTGCTTGACAAAAGTGCATAGATAGAAGACAGGGATTCCTGGCTGGGAGGAGGGAGGAGAGCTGAAGATCTCTGCCTGGGCTGGCTGAGCTAAGCAGTCAAAGTGGGAAGCTGAGTGCTTGAAAGAGGATTATGCTCGCCCTAGAAATAAGCAGTAAGTGAGCGAATAACCATTATGGCTTAGAAAAGGATTAATCCCCCTGGGGTTATGGGGTGAACTAGAAAATATTGCTTAACTCTAGAGTAAAACTATATGGCTTCTGACTCTGTGTACAGTTGTGTGCTGTTTGGAGACTGGGGCTTAAATACAAAATCAGAGCTCTAAATGCCCCCTCCCTTTCTTGGAAAATGCCAACTTCTACTTAGAGTAGTTGTGGTTATAATCTCCTTCCCTGACCTAGTCTCTTCCCAGGAAAACATACTCCTAAATCAGATAAGGGGTTGGGATTAAATTGGAAGGGTGGAATTTGGTAGTGGTAGAATTGCAGTCTTGAATTATGTTCGGTGAATGCCGACATTGTTATATCAGTTAGCAGTGATTTGTTCATCACTTAGAAAGAAATTCTGGGGTGGGGCATTAAAAAGGGAAAATTGAGAGCTTTTATGACAAAGAGGCTGAATAGTCCATATGCGTAGGATGAAATATAAAAATGTATGTAATTAATAATAGATGGGGTGTTTTCAACTAGAAAACATTAAACTAGAACAGTAGTCAGGGAACCTAGAAGTGCTAGGATAAAAATAAGTTAGAAAGGAAGAAATTTTACTTCCAATGGTTTTTTATGCTAGCCAAAAATCTCACAATGTTTACAAAGTCAAGACAATGATTCAGGGATACCTCGATTATTGTCATACATTATAAATACTGTTGCTGGGCAAGATCTGTGGTTCTTTGGTCAGCAAGTTCTGGCAATGAAACCACTGCCACTGGTGCAAAGAATTCTGGGATGTCTGACAGTGAAATGGATGGAAGGACCCACATTCCATCTCTACTTAATGTCCTTTTGTCCAGAAATCGGGTCATGCAAATGAGCTACTTGGTACGTATACAGATCAATATTTGGAAAGGCATTTCTAAATGTTTTGCATTAGAGGGCCTCTGCACAATATCCTGTGGCAACCAGTACACTAAAAGGATACAAAAACAAAGTGATAGGAAGGAAGTCAGCTTGATTGAAACCAACTCTGTTTTTTTGTTTTCCATCAATCCTGAAATGGAAACTCAACTGAGGAGAAGAAGAGTAATAGAGAGAAATACTGTGGACATATGTTCTGTTCTAAGTGGCTAAATTCATTAATATATGAATTAGAATTCAGATTTTATTTATGCAGCCAAATACTTGAAGATTCAGAAATCTCTTTATTACAGGAAAAAAATACAAAAAAAAATAGGAGGTATGTTTATTGGGGAGGAAGGGGAAAAAATAGACAAGAATTGTGTCCCACAGGGTAAAGAAGACTTACATCATGTTCACTGAAGGATATAGTTCTTCCCTCAATGAGATGGGGATTCTAATATGGCATAATAGATGCAAACAAATATTTCCTAGTCCCCTTAATTCTCATTGATGTAGTTAATACCTAAAGCAAGTGTTGTGTTTGTTTGGGGTTTTTTTTTGTTTTTTTTAAATAATAATCTTGGACTACAGCTAACTATGTGTGGATTTTATTTTCCTTTTCTTACTGGTCCTCTACAGAGGTACTATGATTTCTGAAATTATGAAGAAGGAATCTGTCATTTCTGGTATTCCTTTCAGCCAGCGCATTGGGAGAAAGAAAAAAAAAAAAAGACTCAGACGTATTATCTTTCTCCTGTAGCACAACAGTGAAATGGTTAAAATGATCTATGACCTTTTCTAACTTTACAGTTTTTGCTGTGAGGAAGGTAGATGGAGATAGGTCACGGGGCGGGGGTGGGGGGTGGAGACAAAATGCCAGTAGAGTGCATTTTTTAAAAATGGTCTGTATTCTTCCAACTTTTCAAACTACCTAATTTTGAAAATTATTTTACTCATCTTTTGAAAATGATTTGAGTTGTTTTTTCCAGTGTTAGTTTTCATCAGATTTATAAGCAAATGTAGAAAATCTGAACATTCATTATCTAAGTTGTATAATGCTTGTCTTATTCTTTAAAATATAAAAGGGATTAAAATAAACATTTAATAGTTGAAGTCTTAAGCATACTATAATTACTAAATGCAGTTTCAGTCTTTAAGAAAAATGGGCTGGGACTCTTAAGGGAATTGTTTATCTCTCTCAAAGTATTAAAGAATCTGTTTTGAAACTACAAAATTGAAAAAAAAAAACAATATTTAGAAAAGGATTAAAGGTATAATTTGGATGGGAGAGGCTAAGCAGAAATACTTGATGAGTTCATTATAAGCCCGCAATTTAACAACAAAAATTTGCTGTTGTCCGTGAGAGACTGACATAGAGAATGATGTATAATGACTAGTGAACGAGGCTAAGTAAAGACTTTAATCTTTAAAAAGTATTAAGTAGGAGTTAACCTTATTAATGGAAAGAAACTAAATGATCATTTAAAATTATTCTTTCACAAGAAAAGTAAAGAAAAAGGATATGGAAAACTAAGCAGTGATGAAGACCTCGAAATAATTGTTGATCAAAAGCAGGTAAGTGAACGCTTCCATACATTTTCTACTGTCGCACTGTAGACCTTTGACAGCTGAAGCCCTGTGAGTGTTCAGCCTTGCACTGGTGGCTACATTATTAGCCTGTCCAGCGAAGGCCTGCATAACGAGATAGATTTTGAGAGCAGCTAAGCCTCACTATATGATCCCTCGGACCCACTGACTTCTGCATGCTGTCAACATGCATGTTCTGTATGTAAGAACGATGAAAAATAAAGCAGAACAAGATCAGAGAACTTTGGGAAAATTACATTCCCCAGCGAAAAATGAATCAATACAGTGATAATTTGGTTAGAAAAAAATTTAAACAAGAATCAGAAAGTAAGTTATTTTGGAAATGAGAAAGCTACAGTTAGTGTTAAACAATAAGTATGCTTTAAGGGGAGGGGGTAAAAGACTAAAAAAACTGGGAAGCTAAAAACATATATATTGCCCAATTTACTTTATCAGAATATGTGCAATAAATTTAAAGACTATTAAAAGAAGAAGCTACTTAATACTCTTTAATACTGCCTGTAATTTGAGAAACACCTAGCTTGGATTTTATATGGGCCCATAAGGTGAAATGAAAACTGCTTAATAGACCATAAACAATGATATCAAGTAATGGAAGGTATCCAACTAATGCCACTGAATTGGCATTGGTCCTCAACGTCTTTGTTAATTATCAAGGAGACAAGATAACTGCACACCTATTTAAGGTGTAAGTGGCACCGATTCTGAGGGTGATGTAAGCTCAGGTAGAGACTGAGAAATAATTCAAAGGAGTCTGCGTAGATGAAGAGGTTAGAAAGAAAGCAGTCAGCAAGTTGCAGAAAGGCAAGTGGAATTTGGACAATCTCATAATCGTTTGTTTTGCATCATGACGATTGCATTAAAGGAGCCATTATGTTTATTTCTGGAAAGAAAAAAAAAAGAAAAATGACCATCAGAAGAGAGCAATCAGAAAAAAGGGGAGTTACAGACTTGCTTCTTAGGTCTGGAATAACTGAGGGTAACTGAAGTGGTCTTCTGGGGGAGAACTCACCAAACAAAGCACCTCCCCAGAGGCAGAAAATAGGTTATCTTACAGTATCCACTCAAACTGCCTTTGAATTCTTTTTACTTGCCTTATCTTCACTCTCCTGCTCCTGAGTGAATTGGGGGGTGGGGGGCAGAAGTTGGCGAGGAATTTGGCCCTGTATTTCTGCTTAACGCCAAATTGTCAGTTTGGTTAATAAGATCAGTGGAGCTAGAGCTCAAGTGCTCTGCTGGGCCTATTAGCTATCATTTCAACTATGCCAGATTAATTACTTGGGGCACGAGATCTCCATCTCACACAGATCCTATCCCTAGACTGGCATTCTCACTGAAGGATGGGACCCACCCAGTGAATGAACTAGTAAAATAAAATTGAGTATATTATGAGAACACACATACCTATCCATTTCTCTATTAAAAGGAAAAGTTATTTTTTTTATTTCTTCCTTAATCGTGTAGAAGTTAAACGTTTATTCTTTTTTGCACTTTCTTAGTATCATCCTACCCTCAAAGGCTGCTTGCTTTTTTTTTTTTTTCGGCCTAAAGCTTTTTTTGTTTGTTTTAACTAAGTTTTGGGATAGAGAAAACCATAAAAGTATACGTTGAGATCTTTGGAATGGAAAGCCCAAGGGAGTCGTTGTTCTTTTTTTCTCATGGTAGCTTTCGCAACATTTATGTTGTTGTCCCCAAACACATTTTATTAACGGCTAAGAAAACCAACTTTCCTTCTGTTTCAGAAAATAATGCTTTTCTTACCTGGATCAAAGGAGGAAGGATTTGACTTGCCCAGTCATTGTTTTTCTCCGTAGTTAATCATGTTTCCCCCAGTGCCCCTGCACCAGTTGGCACCAGTTGGCAGTGACCCAGCTTTGCTGAGTCACTCATGCCAAAACACATTTTAAAAGACGAGTCATTATGAATATGAGTTGGCTTTCGCGTTTGCTGTTGGCAGTAAGACTAGTCCTTCCTTTTGGGGAAGGTTTACCTGCTGATGATGTTGTGATCAAATCCTAGGTTGAAACAATGTCAGTGTTGATACCTTGAAGTAAAATATTTAGGCTAACACTCTAATTAGTCTTGATAATACTACAAAAAATTCTTTCTACGCTTAAGAGAGCGTCATTAAAAGTGTGTATGTGTTTATGTGTGTAAAACACATCCGTCTACTATTGCTTCATTTCATAGATACTATATATTTGGAGAGGAATCTTTATGTTCAGTTTATTCTTTCTGTATCTTTTTAAAAACATGGGAGATATTTGTTAGTCAATCTTCATATAATTGCAAATAGCTTTTTCAGTAAGTGCTGCCAAAAGAAAATCTAGAGAAGATAAATAAAATAGTTGGAGTGCTGTGCTGGGCAGAAGTCTACTAATCTCATTAAATCTGTCATTCAGAAACTGTCGCTCTACAAATGCTGTGCAAGCTATATGCCTTTTTATCAGTCGTGTGACTTGCAAGACTTGAACTTCCACAGAAAGTTCACAATTTTGCTTATATAAGCAAACTAATAACAGAAGCAGCACAGAGTATGTGGATTTTGTTCTCCCTGGCCGCTCCATTCAAGGGGGTTAAAGGTGATTTCTATGTTATTTCTACACGAGAAAAAGTGATTTTGGAAATGGGTAAGGTTTTATTCTTAAAAGTCAATATTGTGCTTCTCTCTTTGTCAAATGTTATTGGCAAGATTTATTTGAAATTCATATGAAAATGTTCTAGAGAATTCACAGAATTCTCTAGACAGAATTCACCTGTCCTAAAGTAACAGGTGCCAGGTATAATCACATATATATACACTCATATATAGTCATTTAAATATAGATGTATGACATTGGCATTGGAGTCCATATTTTCCACCAGAAATCCCTAGAGTTTTCAAACTTCAAGCACAGGAAAGCCACCAAAGGAAGCATATTAGATTAAAATCTTAATGCCTCTAAACCCCAGACATTTGACACAAATATATATATATTTCATTATTTATATAATGTTATATAATTATATAATTATTACATATAATTATAACAAATATACATAATTAATAAATTGTGTGTTTGGCTTTCCAGAACTAATATTAAAAGAGAAATTTTGAATATATATTTCAGATCATTTTTATTGTTCATTAAAATGTTCTTTCCTGATTGGAGGGGGGGTAGATATTGTTTAGGAATAGATTTCATGTGCAAATGAATTTCCTTTTGAAGTTACTGAGATTTTAGGGATGGGAGTGGGGGAGTAGATGGTCAAGTACCTTGAGTAAGGGATTAAAAACATTTTCTACTTTAAATAATAAGTTCATTCTATTTTAAATTACTATTTTTAATTAGAAGAGAGTCAACTTAGTATCAAGTTATGATATGCTGGACCAAGATGACCTTTCTTCTAAAATGTTTTCAAATTCCAAGTTAGCTTAACAGATGTATGTAACAAAGGGTAACACAAAATTATGGAATATTATAATTAGATGAAGGATACACTCACAGGTTCAAACATTTCAAAAGTGGTTTTAACAGTATGTCATGAATCCAGTTGGTTATAGGACTCAGAGTTGCAGCTGCATATCCTTCAGTGCAGTAAGGTGGGGAAATGTCAAATGTCAGCCAGTTACAAGGGGAGCAAGTGTACAGAGATCAGAGCCGCGGTTCTCAAATCCTAGCAGCCTCAGAATCCCCTGGAGGGCTTGTTAGAACATAGGTTTCAGGGCAGGGAGCGGGGGCCACCCCCAGAATTTCTGATTCTATAGGTTAGGTCAGGGGTAGGGCCCGAGAATTTGGATTTCTAAGTCCTTAGCTCCCACTGCTGGTCCTAGACCACACTTTGAGAACCACTGGGTCAAAGGAAACAATTATTGTAGTTCTGAAGGGAAAAAAATATACATGACTTGTGATAAATTCAACATTCTTCAACTGAGCATTACCTGGAAATCTAAAAACTAGAATTCATAGACATCCAACAAAATGTTTGAAAACAAGAAAACCACAGCCATTTATGCCCAGAGGTGCCTTTTAAAAGACCCAGATTTGTAGTTTGACTAAATTCTACTCAGTACCCTTGTGATCTTGAATTGGTCTGAGGTATTTCTTTTTGTAAAATAATATTCTGCTCTTACCATCTCCTAGAATTTTTCCTGAGAGGATAAAATATGTAAAAGTACTTTATAAACTGTAAATCATTATGCCATTTTTAATTAGCGAGTCATAACCACTGTATTGGTCTGTTTTGCCCACCATATGAACTATCATAGACTGGATGGCTTAAACAACAGACATTTCTCATAGTTCTGGAGGTTGGGAAGTCCAAGATCAAGGTGCTGGTATGGCCAGTTTTTGATGAAAGCTCTCTTCTGGGCTTGTAGATGGCCAGCTTCTCACTGTGTTCTCATATGCAAGGAGAAAGAGCTCTGGAGTTGCTTCCTTTTATTAGGGCTCTACCCTTACTGACTTTTTTTTTTTAATTTTATTATGTTATGTTAGTCAACATACAATACATCATTAGTTTTTGATGTGGTGATCCACAATCCATTGTTTTCGTATAACACCCAGTGCTCCATGCAGTATGTGCCCTCCTTAATACCAATCACTGGGCTAACCAATCCCCCCTCCCCCCTCCCCTCTAGAACCCTGTCTGTCTCTCAGAGTCCATAGTCTCTCATGGTTTATCTCTCCCTCCAATTCCCCGCCCCCTCATTTTTCCCTTCCTTCTCCTAGTGTCCTCCATGCCATTCCTTATGTTCCACAAATAAGTGAAACCATATGATAATTGACTTTCTCTGCTTGACTTATTTCACTTAGCATAATCTCCTCCAGTCCCATCCATGTTGATGTAAAAGTTGGGTATTCATCCTTTCTGATGGCTGGGTAATATTCCATTGTATATATGGACCACATCTTCTTTATCCATTCATCTGTTGAAGGGCATCTCGGCTCTTTCCACAGTTCGGCTATTGCGGACATTGCTGCTAT